CTTCCACTAATTACAGTTCAATTTGAGCTTCTCTTAAGCACAGTTCTGGAGCTGCGACGGCCCGGTCCAGCTGGGATCTGGGCCGATGGGGGGCCCGGCGTGCGTGGAGGGGGGCAGGAACTCATGTGCAGAACATTTGCTACCTAATGTGTGACTCGCTGGCAGAGCGTCGCTGACGCCTTCACACGGCGGCCCGTCTGGGTGTTAAGGAGACAGAAGGGCGCTGCTCGCTGGGTTAAGTCACTGAACGCCGGGCATGTGACAGCGCAGGAGAACCTCAGGGCCATAGGTGCATGGAAACAAGGGGGCCCCCAAATGGCCAGGGTGCAGGGTACCCTTATGTACCCCCTCACTATGTACCCCTTTTTGGGGGCGGCGGTCCGGGGGCCCGGCGGGGGGGCAAGCGGCCCATAAGCGACCAAGAAAGCAGATCACGCCCTTTCTGCTCACCCTCTATTAAAGTATGTGTGTATGTCTGTCTATGTGTGTGTAAGGTACAGTATGTCTGTATGTCTGTCTGTGTGTAGACTGTTCAGTATGTGTGTATGTCTGTCTGTGTGTAAGGTACAGTATGTGTGTATGTTTGTCTGTGTGTAAGGTACAGGATGTGTGTATGTGTGTCTTTGTGTAAGGTACAGTATGTGTGTATGTATGTGTGTCTGTGTGTAAGGTACAGGATGTGTGTATGTGTGTCTTTGTGTAAGGTACAGTATGTCTGTATGTATGTCTGTGTGTAAGGTACAGTATGTCTGTGTGTGGACTGTTCAGTATATGTGTATGTCTGTCTGTGTGTAAGGTACAGTATGTGTGTCTGTGTGTGTACTATACAATATGTGTGTGTGCATGCATTTTTGTAATTATTACGTTATGGGGACCAGATTTCCCCACAATGTGATGAAATCCTTCTGGGGACATTTTATGGTACCCACAAGGACAACCTCCATTTTATAAAAATCTGTGAATGCAATAAAAAACTAAAAATGCCAAAAGTCTTATTTTTTGTTTGGTTACTTATGGTTAGGGTTAGGGTTAGGGTTAGGGGTTAAGGTTATGGTGGGGATTACGGTTTTTCCCATTAAAATGAATGGAGAGTCCCAATAAAGATATGAGTACAAATGTGTGTGTGTGTGTGTGTGTGTGCCCGCATGTTTGTGTGTGTAGTATTCAGTATATGCGTGTAGTATACAGTGTGTAGGTGTGGTATATAGTGTATGTGTCTGGTATACAGCGTGTGGGGGTGTGTGGTATATAGCGTATGGGTGTGTGTGCATATCTGTCTATGTGTATGCATGTGTGGCATACAGTGTGGGTTTGTGTGTGGTATGCAGTATATGTGTGTGGTATACATTGTGTGAGTGAGGGTGTGGTATACAGTGTATGTGGGTGGTATACAGTGTGTGAGTGTGGGTGTGATATACAGTGTATTCGTGTGGTATACAGTGTGGGGGCATGACATGCAGTGTATGGGTGTGGTAAAGAGTGTGGGGGTGTGGTATACAGTATGTGTGTGTGGTATACAGTATGTGTGTGTGGTATACAGTGTGTGAGTGTGGGTGTGATATACAGTGTATTTGTGTGGTATACAGTGTGGGGGCATGACATGCAGTGTATGTGTGTGGTATACAGTATGTGTGTGTGATATACAGTATGTGTGTGGTATACAGTATGTGTGTGTGGTATACAGTATGTGTGTGGTATACAGTAGTGTGGTCTGCAGTGCTTCTTCTGGCATCTGGCAACGTATCTGGAGATATGACGCTTCATCCTATTGATGTTCATGAATATGAGAAATTGCTGAATTTTCACCCAAGATAAAATGCTTCCATAAAACTTTCAGTAAGATGAAAGATGTCATCAGTGAGCCCCAACTACTCGCCCATTAGCTGTCAGCTCAGAGCTGCGTTTTGAGCCTTTTTCACAGGTTCAGTTAGAGCAGTAGGGCTCATCAGGCCCTTCACTAAAAACCAGGCAGAATAATATTATTATATGGAGGGACTGTGGGGGGCGGAGCCAGGCCTGACCTATAATAAGCAGGCTGGCATTGGGGGCCATTTGGACTTGGGACACGCAACGCCAAACACCCACGCTGATGTAATCACACCTGCCGGTCCGCCTGTCCACAACCGTGTTACTGTGAAATTCTCATTAGCGCTCTGCTGACAGCATCGCGGTGACTCTTCCTGGAGGCTCCGGTGTGTCCAGCTGCCGGCAGGCCGGTTGCATGTGAGGCCGAGGCCTCCTCCTTCCTCTCCCTCCTCCCTGGGCCAGCGAGGCTCCGGCAGTAAAGCAGGCTACTGCGGCAGGGAAAGTGGGTCTGCTATCCAGCAGGGACTGAGCCCAGGGGCACGGCAGGGCGCGGAATCGCAGCCGAGTGGCAGGACGCGGAACCGAAATAAACCGGGCGAAGCTTTGTCCTGAAATTCCTGCTCATGTGACGCCCAGCAAGGACGAGGGAGGCCTGACAGCACTGAGGAGCGCAATGCCGTGCCTGAGCACCTCATGCTCGTGAACAAAGACCTCAGCCGCTTCCAGTATCAGTTTCTATTGGTCATCTTTAGGCCAATAGGACATCTGTCCTCAGTGACGGAAGGAATAACGGTTATTTCCCCTCTGGTCATCTGTTATGTGAGTGTGTTGATACATTTCATGTTTCTTTTGAAGTTTATCATTAAAAAAACCCTACACCTAGCTATTTGCTGGTTTCTAATCCAATTCCCATGAAGCCTTGGGGCAATGAAAAGGTCTCCTGAACATCTTCTGCGTTATGACAAAATCCTCACTGTGAATGCGATGCCATCTGTTAACTTGACGATTGTAACACACAAGCCTGAAAAGTTCCATGAACAGGATCATGCGACACGTACAGAAATGAAAGGAGTGCTATTTGGTGTAGATGTTGACGTGGAACGCATGGTCACGGGTGCTCTCTCTCGGCTCAGGTGTGCATCGTGCAGAAGAGGGATACGGAGAAGATGTATGCTATGAAATACATGAACAAGCAGCAGTGCATAGAGAGAGACGAGGTCCCCAATGTCTTCCGGGAGCTGGAGATCCTGCAGGACATTGAGCATGTGTTCCTGGTGAACCTCTGGTGACTATCACACCGCTGCTGATCCCTGCGTGCAAGATGTCAAACGTTGCCTCATACTGCCTCGTGCTGCTTCATTTTGTTTCATACTGCCTAACTTTGCCTCACCCTACCTCACGCTACCTCATACGGCCTCACATGGCCTCATGCTGCCTCATATTGCCTCACATGGCCTCATGGTGCCTCAGGCTGCCTCATGCTGTCTCATGCATCCTGGGGCCTAAGCAGTTCTTTCCATTTCCATCCCCTTTCCTCCTAACATCAACATCTTGAGATACTTTTACACTTATTTTTAATGTTCATTGAATAGCAATATTCACAGCTCCTGTAAATGTCTCTTTTTTCACAGGTTTACACATGATAATAAGTATATAGTATAACTAAAATTTGAACCCCCCCACCTTGAAAAGAGTCCAAGACAAGTGTGCTGTTTAAACCTTTACAGGCATAACCTTAAGTAACCAAAGCTTTACAGAGCTTGTTGAATATGGGCGACAATGTTTTCTGAGAAGTAATGGAGCGAGGATGTAGTTCGAGGACCTCGCGGGACCGGCCCGCATCTCGGTTAAAAAGGCACGCTTTTGGAAAGTTGCAGTTGGAAAGTTGCAGTGCGCTGTTTTTATAATTTGCTGCATCAGCTGTAGCGGCTTCTTCATTAGTTTTCACGGTACACCGGCATCTCTGTGCTGCTGCTGACAAAGCGGGCAGCTGGAGGGACAGAAGCCCCCTTTTGCTTGTTTATCATGAAGCGGGCAGCTGAACCCCCTGTCCTCATCCTCACAGACCAACTCTGTTCTCCACAAAGACGCTTGCGGTTGCTGACCACAGCAGAGACGTTAGGGTTCAGCCCAAGAGTTCCTCACAGTGTAGAAGAGCCGCACTTCTGACCCTGGCACCTGTGCCCTCTTTGGTCGAGCGTGCTGGGCCATCACAAGCCCACCACGTGGCCAGTCGTGTTGTGGCGGTCGCCCACTATGGGCCGCGCTCGAGCCGGGGTGCAGGGGCTGTTTTAAATAGCTCAGCGGCGCCCACTTCAATCACACTGGCCTCATTGTGTTACCGCAGCAGTCGCTGTGACTCTCTCTGCGGCGAAACCTGCGCGTGTCCCGGCTGCGCCGACCTCGTTAGAACTCGCACCTGCACGGTGCCGCAGAGAGCGCGTTAACCCATCACGCCCCGGGCCAGCCCGGCCCCGGCACAGCTGCTTCCCTCTCTCCTGGCGTTCAGAATGTGCAGAAGACCTCGCCGTCATGGCGGTGGGACCCGAGGCACAGCTGACAGTTACACATACATAGCTTAGTTAGGATCCTTGTGGAGGATAATGCTGATCTTTTAGCTTTTCTGCCCAAAATGGGACATAATTGCAAAAGGGAGCACAGAACCTGTGGCTGAGAAGGAGGACAGAGAGTGACAGAGCCGGAGTGGGGACAGGTGTCACCTTTGGTGTGACAGCATGGCTAAACACAAAATGAAAACGCCCTTCTTTGGTTTTTGTTTGGAATCTGTCTTGGCATTTTTCATAGGAATTTTAGCTCTTTATCTCACAGACATTGCAGACTATTTGTCACCAAGGCTCCTGTGACTTTGGGTCCCCCTCGTGACTGTGCCGCACCCTCCCAGGTACTCCTTCCAGGATGAGGAGGACATGTTCATGGTGGTGGACCTGCTACTTGGCGGCGACCTCCGTTACCACCTGCAGCAGAACGTGCAGTTCAGCGACGAGGCCGTCAAGCTGTACCTCTGCGAGATGGCCCTTGCCCTCGACTACCTGCAGAGCCAGCACATCATCCACAGGTACGGGCCTCTCCCATGGCCGCTCCGCCGACCCTGACGCCGCCACGCCGGCAGAAATGAGGGCCAGCTCACGCTACTTTGGCCAGCGAGCGGGATGAGTGGAGTTGGCCGGCCGGGTACGACGTGGCTTTTGCTATCCTGCTTTCCTAACTACCAGGTTTAAAATAGCTCCCTGCTTACCGCCGGGGAAGGCGGACTGAGTGACTGTGCAGCGGAGAGGTGACCCTATGCCTGCTGCCTGTACCCTGCTCTTCTGCCTCCCAACACGCTAGTTGTGACAAGAGAATTCTACACAATTATAGTGTTGCGAGAAACTCTGATGATGGGTCTCCTAGCAACCACGCTTCAGACAGAGCCAGGAGGGGAAAAATTAGCGGGCAGTAATCCCAGGACTCACGCGCTGCGCGGCTCTTCCCAGCAGCGCGCTAACAAAGGCGGTTAGCCCGCTCCCTCTCACACACGGGCTGGGTAATCACACCAGCGGAGGCCTAGCGGAGGACACCTCCGACGCTCCGCAGGGGCGCCGTGCTGAAGGGTTCTCACAGCCAGTGGGGGTTGCCGTGGTAATTCAGCTTTCATGGTGGATCTCCTTCAGCAGGATCCAGCGAAACGTGACACTGTATTGGAGGCCGCGTGGGATTCGAGCGGTGGGGGGAGGGGTTGCTGTCAGCAAGGGTGACAGAAAGACCTGCCCTGTAGGGGGCACCACTCGCTAATGCCCCGGCTTCTCTCCACTTTGCAGGGACATTAAGCCTGACAACATCCTCCTGGACGAGCAAGGTGAGCCCCCAGCAGCGAGTGGCCACAGCGGGCTGCCCAGATCCCGCCTCTGCTCACCACAGAGACGCATCTCTTGTTTCCCAGCATAAACCCGGGCCTCTCGTCTTACAGCTTTGTGGGTCTTTCTGATTTTGGAAAACGTACACATGTCTCTTCTAAAGTCACCTGCATACTGCTACTTATCTAGCATGTTAAGCAGCATGAGAGTGTAAGGAGTTGCAGCTCCCACAGCCTGCTGTGCAAACGGCAGCCTGGTAACAGTGCGCACAAGGTGCAGGATAACATACCAGCGAGATGCAGAGCAGGTGACTTAGTAACCCAATGCTTACCTGAGCTATGGAACCAGGCGGGAAGAATGGGCTTCGAGCTGCAGAGACCGCAGACGTGGGTGATGTAATCGGCACTAGAGGCAGATCGGGACCCCAGGGGAGCTCAGCTGCGTAGCTCAGCCTACAGTTTTCTAGCTGCGTTTTGGACACTTTACTCAGGTTGTAGTTTGCATGTCTGTGCATTTCTGAGTTATGTCACATATATTTCAGGCCTGTCTATGTCTATATATCTATACAGGTCACGCTCACCTCACGGACTTTAACATCGCCACGGTGATAAAGGATGGCGAGAGAGCCACTGCGCTAGCGGGAACCAAGCCGTATATGGGTAAGACGGAAGTGGTCCGAGGAAGACTCTAGATTATTGAGGGCGCAGCAGCCCTGGGGATACGCAGCCTATATGAGGATATATAAGGGAAGTAGAAGGTTGTGTTTGGTTGTGTTTGCTGTTGTGCTGCCCCAAATGCTCGCAGTAAAACAGGCATTAAAGCCTGGCTGAATTTGCATAAGATTAAATAACAACCTCAGCACCTCATAATTAGCCTGCCTCCCATGCGCGACGTTCCGGAGGCAGCTCCAGATCCGCTTCCGCTCGGCTCCAACGGCGCGCCTGCCTCTGCCAACAGCCCCCGAAATCTTCCAGTCCTTTGTGAGCGGCGGTACTGGCTACGCCTTCGAGGTGGACTGGTGGTCGCTCGGCGTGACAGCGTACGAGGTGCTGCGGAGTCTGGTACGGTCACCATATGGATTACGCTCTGCAATTTGCCACACTGACAGTGGGGGGCGCACTCTCCCCAGTTCTGCTTTCTATACCTGCTTTTCTCCTTCTCCCACTCATCCCCTCTCCTTTTCCTTCTCTGGTTTCCCCTCACTTTTTGCACTCCTCCGTTCCTCCTCCTCTCTCCCTCCGACTCCCCCACTCTTCGCCTCCCTCCAGAGGCCATACGAGATCCACTCCACGGACCCCCTGGAGGACCTGATGCAGGTGTTCAGCACCGTCAGCGTGTTTTATGCTCCTACGTGGCCCAAGGACCTGGTCACCCTGCTGAGGAAGGTGAGGAAGACGAGCTCTCCACAGTGCGCCCATTACACTGAGCGCCCCTAATGGTTTGTGCTGTCCAATAAATCTGGTCATTTTTCAGTTTTTACCGCAGTATCTGGGGAGAAGAGGGAGCTCAGTAAAAAAAAACAACCAAAGGGAAATAAAAGTAAAGGAGATTTTGTAAACTAGGACGGGACTGTAAAGTCACTCATATTGGGTCAACGGCGTAGACCAACTGTTCAGAGTGGTTGTGAAAATTAGATCTGCAGTGCCCCCTTGTGGACAGTAGATTGACTGACTGGTTGCTTTCTGGAGCATAACTACCCAGGCAAGGTCGTGGCCTTACCCCATTTCCATGAACATACATCATTTGTCTCATTCTCCTTGAGAAAGTAACATTTCAGAAGAGCTTTCCTTCCCTCACCTGCTATTCGACCAATTGCAGCGCATGCCGTATCTGGGGCTGGTCATGTGACTGGGTGCCTCTGTGTCCCACAGCTGCTAACGGTTAACCCGGAGCACCGCTGTTCCTCACTGGCCCAGATGCAGGCCTCTGCCTGCATGAGCGACGTAGACTGGGAGGCAGTGTACGAGAAACGGGCAGAGGCAGGGTTTGTGCCCAATGTGAGTGAGCTACTCCCACTGCACCCTGGACTACTGCACTGTCACAGCACCCTGGGCTACTGCACTGCCACTACACCCTGAATTACTGCACTATCACCTGGGCTACCGCAGTGCCAACACAAACTGGAGTACCTCACAACCACTGCACCCTGGGCAACTGCACTGCCACCACACCCTGTGATATCACACTTTCACCACACCCTGGGCTACCACACTACTATCACACCCTGGGGTACTACACTATCACCACGCCCTGGGATACTACACTGTCACCACACCCTGGGCTACCGCACTGCACCCACACCCTGGGTTACCATACTACTACCACACCCTGGGCTACCGCTCTACTACCACACTCTGGGCTACCGCACTACTACCACACCCTGGAGTACTACATTGTCACCACAACATGGGCTACTGCACTGCCACATCACCCTGGGTTTCCACACTGCCACCACACTCTGGTTTACTACTATCACTGCACCCTGGGCTATGGTACTGCCACTGTGTGATTTTGACTTGATTTGTTCATTAGCACGTTCAAAAGTCTAAAATGCCGGCACAAGCCTGATTTCTTCATATTTAACAGATATTTCTGACTTTTTTAAATCTTAAAACTGCTACACGATGACACACACACACAATCCACACACAAGGAATCTTATCTCCCCAAGCTACTATAAAAGGTGTTACATGAGGTGTCCTCTCCCTGCAGTCATGTGACTGTGAAGCAGGCAGTCAGCTGACATGGTCACACTTGTGTGTGAGTGTGTGCATGGGCGTGTCTCCCTCAGAAAGGTCGTCTCCACTGTGACCCCACGTTCGAGCTGGAGGAGATGATCCTGGAGTCCCGTCCTCTGCATAAGAAGAAGAAGCGTCTGGCAAAGAGTCGATCGCGAGACAGCAGCAAGGAGTCCCAGTCGGTGAGGAGACCATGCAGACACATACACAGATACACACGCAGAAGCACACGCACAGGCACACACGCACTCGTGCACAGGCACAGGAACACAGGCACACGCACACAGGCACACACGCACTCGTGCACAGGCACAGGAACACAGGCACACGCACACAGGCACACACACACACAGATACACACGCAGAAGCA